ATGACAAGTTTCCATGTCTCTCAGGGTCTTGTGTTGGCAGCTGAAGGGTCAGCAGCAGGCAGTATGCATAGATGGCATAGATGGCATACAATGTGATGGTGGTTATGGGTCTGTACTCCAAACAGGGCAGGGAACTAGGTAGAGGACAGGAGCAATAGCAGCAGAGACTGGTGAGTGAAGGAAAAGCCTAGGGAATACAAGGGTCCCAGTGGAGGGCAGAAATATGCTAGGGCAGTGGTCTCTAACCTTTCAAAGAAGGAGATCACCTTTGGCATTTAAAAGCAAACCAAGATCTACCATGTGGAGCCGCTGCCACACCCCTCCCCTTCAGCAGGTAAGTCTGTGGGGAGGGAAGTGGGGGGCAGATCGAGGCAGAGGGAGAAAAAGTATTCAGGGCTGCACCTCCCCAGCAGGTAAATTCCATCTGGCTGGGGCCCCACTCAACTTCCCCCTGCTCCAGCCTCTCTGGCACTGTCCCTCACTGCGGGGGCCTTAATTTAGCCCTTACTTTTTCCCTCCCCCACAGACTGACCTTCTGGGATGGGTCACACATGTGCATGCACGCGCGCACTCAGCCCCCCAACCCCAGCCTTGGATTGGCTCCAAGAGGCTCCGAGATCTACTGCGAGAGGCTCCAAGATCTACCAGTGGATCTCAATCCACTGGTTCCCAACCACTGGGGTAGGGACACTTGCAGTCAGCAGCTGGAATGGGGAGCAGAGGGGAACCAACCAAACAGAGCCCTCAGGGTCCCTCAACAGCTGGCTAGGCAGCTGGGTGGGACTCTTGAGGGATGTCTGGGTGAGGGTAAGCCAGATAGCAGACCAGGAAATGCCCTTACACCTCATGGTGGTGGGCATTCAGCCTTGATGTACTGCCAGCAGGAGACAACCACTTCCCCTGGCTCAGACCCTGCAGCTGGATTAGGGGCATGTACACTGGCATCCTGTGCCATTTCGAGGTGCTGAGTGACTGGGTCTGCATACTGCAGGACTGGCAAGGGGTATGTTCCAGGTGCGACCTCTTTGGCCTGCTGCAGGGCAGGAAAGTGTCCTACCCCACCCTTTTCACTCTCTTGGTGCCCCTCCATGTCTTTATGAGCAGGCATCACATGTACCATTATACATATGATAGTAGTCAGCGACAGCTGTCATGAGTTCACCAATGTTGGGTCCTGCCTCCAGACATAATGCCTCCTTGCAACCCCACTCATCCCTCCTCTGGTCATACCTCTATTATGAGCTCTCACCCTGAGAGCTGCTAAGTAAAGGAGATCCATCTGTCCTACGCTATGCCCACCTGCCACCCTGTTACCAGTTCCCAACCATCAGGGCATTTGTTAGGCTTGCAGCAACAGTCAATTTGGGGCTCTGGCCAGTGACTGAGGGATCTGCCCTCATAGTCACCTCGGTTTTGCATTTGCACAGGGAAACAAGGCTACCTCCTGTAACCAACACATCTCACACCCTTGTGCATTCAGAAAGTGTGTGATCACCCATTTCAGGAAACACAGACATATAAATGAATTCATTTTATTTGTGGAGCAGTAGGCAATTTCTGCACACCCTTTACCTCCTGTTAGTTAGCTAGTAAATAGATCTGTGTGAAGCGGCTAGTATTCGCTTCAGATTTAGATTCAGCCAATTCGGGAGACAGCGATTCGATTTAGTGATTCAAATCACTGTCCTGAATTGATTCGGCTGAATCTGTTTCAGAGATTTGGCTGCTGCCAAATCAGCCGAATCTCCAAATCACACAGGCCCCACCCCTGCCTATTCTTCCAGCCCTCCCCTGGCCCCAGCTCCTGGCTATTTGAAAAAAAAAAGTCCCCACCCACCGACTGCTGCAAGGTGATCCCCGCTGCCCCCCACTTCCCCCTGCTGAATGCGGGGGCTCTGTTATGCCTCGCCTCCTCCGTCCCCTACTTACCAGCATGAAGTCTGAGCCCAGCTCCCTGCTGTAGCGAGTAGGGACTGCCCAAATCACCAAAACTCTCCGAATCTTTTGTGAATCAATTTGGACCTTTTCATTGTTCTCCTGATTTGATTCAGATTCAGAGATTCGGCTGTTGAATTGGGCTGAATCTCCTCCAAGTCGAATCAGCACCTGAAGCTTTGCACAGCACTACTAACCAGCTGCTTCCTAACTGAGGGATCTTCTCCCAATTCCCAACTCCCTCAGTCTCCTGTCAGGGATTAACTCTAAGTCAGCACTTTAGTCACTAGAAAAGTTGATACCAAAATGAAGTACAATCATTTGTGGAGATGTATTGTGGGGCTGGTGGTTGATCTCTTCTAATTGTGAGGCCTGCATGGATCTGGTGCCACAGCCCTGAAAATTACAACCCCAAGAAGGCAGGACTTTCCTGTATGTTTTATTCCTCCCAGGACAGAGTTTCTCTAGATGAGGATGAGAAGGCAACCACGAAGGAGGATAGAGAGCACTTTTGTGACTAAACTCAAGTCTGTAGATGTTGGATATGGAGACAGAAGAGGCTGTCACTGAGCAACCCAGTGAGAGAGCCAGGTATGAAACCCAGATCATTCAGGCAAATTAATGAACAATCCCATTCGCCTTACTCAGAAAAAATTTTGGCAAATGTTTTCTGAAATAATAAGGGGAGAAAAAAGTTTTTAAAAGTCTTGCCTGTTTCCCAAGCTTTCTGAAGGGGAAATCACAGTGGCTTTAATTTACTTTATTGCAAAAATCTCCAGGAAATCTTGGTTGCTAATCAGTCTCTGGGGTCATAGCAAATGGGGGGAGAAAGAGCTTCCATATCACAACACTTATAAAGGAGTACCTGATAAAGGAAGGAGGGGTATTTGTTTGGGGCAAAGCCATCTAGGTGGTTTTGTTCTGTAGCAAGGCACTGACCCACACACTTAATGAGAACATTTTCATAAGGTAACATCTGGGAGAAGGGGCATGTGTGGAGAATGTCTATTGCTTGCTTAGTGTTCCCTGTATTTTTTTCTTTCCACCATCACATGCTGTGACTGAGGCTTAAGGGGTGATGCTTCAAGTGTTTATAACCTGATCAAATTGCCATTTCTCAGAATTACTGCAAGGGTTTTACTAGTGCAGCGAAACTTGGGGTCCTATCATAATCCACCAACATTCTCCCTCCTCCCCAAATTTCTGAGTTTTATATTCATTCAGATTTTTCTGATCCTGTTCAGGTGAGAGTCAGACTGAGGAGCAGAAGATAACAGTGAGGAAGTTACGGGATGTGGAGGGAAGGACACCTCGGGTACTGTTCCTACTAATATATGTAGTACATGCTAGCTGTGAGATGCGTGGATACATGTGATGTAGGAATACTTCTACAAGAAATGTATCTGCTGAATTTTGATGTCAGCTGAGAAGAAAGAACACTGTTGCTGTTGTTCTACAAATCCTCATTATGGATAGCTGGGAAATCGGTGGTGGGTTTGTTTTATTTTGGGGTAGTTGTGTGTCAAGTTATTTAAAGATTGCTGCAAGAAATGTTAAAATCCAAATTTACGGCAGATATGAATTTATATGGGTGTCCCTGGGAATTAAGCTACTTGTGGCACAGAGTAAGAAGTGGTGATTAAAAACTAGGAGATGTAGAGCATGGAAAGTAAGGCAGAAGTTTATTTCTAGAGCTGTTCAGAAATGAGGATATATTTTGTGACATCATTTTACTTCTCTTTCTTTTTTCCTGTACGTCTCTGTGTTTCTCCATTTAGTTATCCAAGCTGCTTGATGTGCAGTTGTCCTAGAAAGGTTTTAAAGACTTGAAAGTGTGTTAGTTACTTATCTCCCTTCGAAGAAGGTCACTCATCATCCTCATACTCTGTAAGCACTCTATATTATATTCTGCTGTTGTTTCTGTTGTATAATGTTTTTCAGCTGATTTTTCCTTTTTAACATGAGCCATAAATGTAACTGTATTAAAATTAATACCAACCCTTCCCTTGTTTGGGACATTAAGTCATGAGAATAATTGAGGAATTTGCATAAATGCCTTGATCGCCTTGAATTATTTTGGTGGAATGAGACAAAAAATAGGCCAAATCCCAGTTTAATTTGATCCACATAAGTGGCACTTCTATAAACTGTCTAAATATAAATTTTGGTGTATCTGCCTCTTTGGGATCTCACTTCCACCTCTGGCAGAAATGGATTGTCATTGGCCTGGAGTGCTTGTGTAACCATGATGGTCTGTGACGGACATATATGAGAGAAAAGGTTTTTTTGTGATAATTTTTATTGGACCAACAATTCCCTGTAAAGCAGGGGTCCCAGTATCTGCTCCTTGCCCCTGGCACCAGATTTGGGTGGAAACTCACCTGTTATTAAGGCTCCAGTGAACATGAAATGTTACATACAGAAAAGCCGATGGACAGAGCTTAGAGTACAGGACTTGATCCCTTCTAAAGCAGTGCTCATCACACCTGAGCTACAGCCCTGTTGGCTTGATCTTTACCTCCTTAATTATCATTACTGTCAGATGACCTGATTAGGAATGTGGTGAAGTTTTATAGGAAACATTGTTTCTATTAAAAATTGGTTGAAGCAGAGAATAAAATACTTATTAATGTTGTCTGGGAAGTCTACAGTTTGAAAATTTCCAGTCCATTTATAGAGGCAGTCAAAATGGAGCATGTTTTCAAAGTTTTATGCTTAATACGGCTTTCTGTCTCTCTGCAATATAACTAAGCATCCACACATGCTTCTCTCAGTAGCAATTATCTGTGCCCTTTTTTGTGTACCTCTCTCTTTATTGTGGTCCATGGGCTTAGTTGCAGGTGCCCTGAAGTGATTTTCTTTTAAAAACTCTTTGGTCAAAGGTTTATGGTACAAAGATTACATGTAGGACATCCAAGCCTGCTTATTCTCGCAACCTGTCTCCAGACACTTGATTCTTATTTATAGATCTGGTTTTCGTGACCTATCTACAGACACAAGCCGCATGACTGCTTCTAGTTTTTCAAATAGATTTGCATGGATTTCTTTAAGGTGAGCTGGAAGTGATGAACCGTACTGCAGTCGAGGAGTTCATTTTGTTAGGACTGACCAGTGACAGGAATTTAGAGATGATCCTGTTCACCGTTCTCCTCATCATCTTCCTCCTCATCCTGCTGGGAAACCTCGTTGTCATCAGCATCACCTTGGTTGACCACCGCCTCCAAGCCCCCATGTACTTTTTTCTCCGGAATTTCTCCCTTGTGGAGATTTCCTTCACCTCCACATTCATGCCCAGGGCCCTTTACAGCCTCCTAACAGGGAGCAAAGGCATATCCCTCCCTGGTTGTTTCTTGCAGTTGTTGCTATTCTTCTATTTGGGCACCTGTGTTTTTTTCCATGTGGCAATGATGTCCTTTGACCGCTACGTGGCCATCTGCCGCCCCCTGCATTACTCTTCTCTCATGAACAGCAGGTCTTGTGTCCAGCTGGTGCTGGGTTGTTGGGTGGCAGGGTTGCTCTTGATTTTTCCTCCCACCATTAAGATTGTCCAGTTGCCCTTTTGTGGCCCAAATGTCATAAACCACTTCTACTGTGACACTGCCCCCTTGCTTGAGCTCTCGTGTGCGGACACGTCCTTCATTGAAGTCATGATGTTAGTTGCAGTTGTAATCATCTTAATGGGGACTTTAACAGCAACCATTTTCTCCTATATTTGCATCATTTCAACCATTTTGTGCATCCCCTCTTCTTGCCGCAGGAAGAAAGCCTTTTCTACCTGCTCCTCTCACCTCATGGTAGTTATAATACTGTACTGCAGCTCCATCTTCAGGTACATCAGGCCAACTCAGAGAGGGGGCCAGGATTTTGACAAAAATGTTTCCTTTCTCTACTGCGTGGTGACCCAGCTCTTCAACCCCTACATCTACACGCTCAGGAACAAGCAAGTCAAACAAGCCCTAAGAGATCACTGGGGCCGCATTTTCTCTGAAATTGGGGTTGTTGAGGTAACCAGAAAGGCACATAATGAACACAGCTCTTCACTGACATCACACCAGGCATTGCATGCAGTGCACCCCATGGGGCAGAAGTGATACAAAGACTTGATTTTGCCTGACTACATTTTGATTTTTGTATCCAGAGATTACAAGGCATGAAGCAAACACCAGGCTTTTGATCCCATGATACAGGCCTTGCAGAACCACATGCAGTAATGTCTTTCTGAGCCCAGTAGCACATTTCTGATTTAAAAATAAATGCCAGTCTCTATTTGTTTCAGGTGAAGGATTCACAAGATTATTTGGAATACCCCCTTCACCCCTGCCAAATGCCTATGCTTCTTATATTTTAGAAATGTTGTTTTTTTCTTTTATATTTCTAGCATTCCCTTTTCCTAATTCACCATACTATTTGTCAGATAGCCACCCTTCTGGTCTCCCTATTCAGGCTGTTAAGTGTGTCCTCAAGTTGCCACCCTTTCTCTTAGCGATAGTGGTAATTATAATGTATTATTTTTCTATCATCATGATGCCACAAGTAGCAATAGAAGTAGTCATAGTTAAAATATTAGTACCGGCAGTATATTTTTCCTGTAGCACTTGTATATATCATCTGAGATTAAGAACCATTTGTTCAAAATCCTGCTAGGGGGCATTTGAACCTCATCATGAGTGAATTTATCATGTATAATTAGAACCACGGCTATTTTTAAGATGGTTTTTCTCCTGTTAGACCTCTCTTCTTTATGCTTTATCACAGAAGCTATTGGGTCAACTGCACTGTCAAAAGTTATTCATAATTAAATAAACTAGCACACGCATTTCTATTGGGAGATGGACTGTGATTTAATTGTCTGGTATGAGTGAGAGGGAACACCATTGAACCACAGATCTTGAAAGAGAATGTCTGCAGTCTTTGCCTGTCCTGCTTTTGCATTGCTATAGACCCCCTGAGAAGGCAATAAAACCTTAGAAATAACAGCTAGCCTGAAACTACAGAAATACAAAAGTAATAAGGAAACATTTTTCAATAGCACACATGGAAGACCGAAGGAGTCAACTTCCAGGGTCCAAAGGTCACCTAAACCTTTCCTTCCCAAGTGTTTTAAGAATGTCTTTTTTCTTGTACTGCATCAATTCAATGCTAGCTGAGGCTGTGCTTCACTTTTCAATTAAATGGGAGTCTCTTAGGTCAGACAGGTGTGCTGTAACCTTTAATTTGGACATCTCGGACTGATACAAAATGGTAATGTTCTTGTCCATAGGATATGGTAAATCTCTTCCCAACCATTTCCACTACTCAATGTCTACTACACACAAATCAAAGAGATTGCCCTTTAGAAAGTTTACTCTCTATCCAGTGATTCTGTAACAGGGTCCCAGAGGACCATGGGGTGCTTTAAGAAACTTTCAGGGGCGTTGCAGTGTGCTACATAGCATTAACACTGTTAGGTGTGCAAATATGACTCGCAAGATAAACCCAGAAATTCAAAGTGTTCAAAACATGTTGACCTGTCAGAGCCTTTCTGAGTTCTCTGACCGAGAAGAATTGGTCTATTCATTTCCTTTCATCAAAAACGGAGTAAAAACTAAGAACTAACATTTTCTGAGGGTTGCCTAAGAAATTGATACCTGCTGACCTAATCATTAGTGAGGTCAAATGCCAAAAAAATGGTTGGTTTTGACTATACAAGGGGACATTTTAAAATTACAGTGGCACTGAATGAGAGAGCCTGGCCCTACTGTAGTCTTTGCTGCCAAAAACTTCTCTTCAAGTCACCTTAGCATTCAGAACTACTTCTTTGAACTCCTTCAATGGATTCCCTTATAACTCATTTAATCTAGGTTAAATTTGTCTTCATTTTCTTCAGGTTTCATGTGCCAACCAGATATTAACTCCCACTCACACCTGGCCCACACATGGTCCGAGATCTCAGCTAGCATTGTTTGGGAAAAGCATGGGTGACTGGTGCCTCCCAAGTCTGGGGGGGCACCCGCAGGTGCCGCCATCAGCGCTGGTGGTGGGGCCAGAGCTGACGAGCTCCCTCAGGTGCCACCATCAGCATCAAGGATGGGGGCAGAGCTGACAAGCTTCCGCAGGTGCTGCCGGCGACAGCAGCAGTGGTGGCCCTGTCAGGGTGGACATGTGCCCCCGCCATGCATTGCCTATGAGGAAGAGTGCCCCAAATAGTTACAAGATCACCCCAGAGTGCTTCTCCAAATTCTCCCAACTCTCTCCCCTTATCCTCTACAGAAGACCATGCTCATTGTGCTGACCCCAATTATCTCAGATTATTCTTGCCTTTTCTCCTACATATTCTCCTTATTGTTTTCTACCCTTTAATTACATTGCAAATCTCCTGGGACAAGCCACTAGGTTTAGCCACCAACACTTTACTCAACCCTGACAGTGGTGGGAAAAGTCCTTCTACCACGTAGAAGGGTTTTATAGGCCTCCAATTAGGCCACAGGCCTCCTATTGGTCCACCCAGGTCACCTGGTCCTCTATTGGGACACTTCGCCCACCTCCGTAGGAAGATCAAAGCTGAGCTGGGGCTGTTTTTCAGTCAAGTCTCCAGTGGCAGCATGGTGAAAATGCATTGACCTGTATCTGTTAGAGGTCTGGGTTCAAGACCTGCGATCTCTAGAAGCTGAATCACCTGGGTCCTAGATGTGATTATTCTGAGAGCTAATGTGCTTCTTTATAATTTCTTCTCTGTGGTGTACCATTGTGAAAGGAAAGAGAGGTGCTCCTGTTATGAGGAGAGCAGAATATTGATTGAGCCTCAACTGTTGACTTTTCTGGTCTTGGTGACATTTCAGCTTTCTAAAAAAGAAAGGGCCCACAGAAATTCAATGGCTATAGGGCACTTCAGCTTTTGGAAACCCCATCAACATGACATGTTTTCAGATCTAGATTGCTTGTAACCAACACCTGAACACATCTCTCATGCTTATATTCCTCTGTTGGATAAGGGAATGTTTGCTTAAATATTCCTATATTTATTTTCACAGAGCCCTTCTTATGTATATGCTGAAATGAATGATTTGGAACTTTATTCTACGGGATGTATTCATAGATTCAGAGACATTAGGGCTGGAAGGGACCTCAGAAGATCATCGAGTCCAGCCCCCTGGCCCAGTGGCAGGAAGTAAGCAGGGATCATAGGATCCCAGCAAGATAAACATTCAATTGTCTTTTGAGGGTGTTTAAAGTGGGTCCTTGAACCACCTCCAGCAGCAGTCTATTCCAAACCTTGGGTGCTCAGACAGTAAAGAAGTTCTTCCTTATGTCCAGCCTGTAACGGTCATAGAGGAGTTTGTGACCATTTGACCTTGTCATCCCTCAGGGTGCTCTGCTGAACAGACATTCCCCCAGATCCTGGTGAGCACCCCTGATAGACTTATAGGTGGCCAACAGGTCCCCCCTGAGCCTGCGTTTTTCCAGGCTGAAGAGTCCCATGGCTCTCAGCCTCTCATCATAAAGTCTGTTATCCTGACCTCTGATCATGCACGTGGCTCTCCTTTGCACCCTCTTAAGCTTCTCCGCATCCTTTTTGAATTGTGGAGCCAAAAACTAGGTGCGGTACTCCAGCTGTGGCCTCACCAAGGCTGAGTAAAATGGGAGAATGACATCCTGGGATTTGCTGGAGAAGCATCTATGGATGCAAGCCAGCATTTTGCTTGCTTTATTACCTGCAACATAACACTGAAGGCTCATGTTCATCTTGTGGTCTTTTCTTATTATTGTCTTTGCATCTTTGTTCATCTTATTGTCTTTGCATCATGAAACACCAGAGGGCAGGGAACAAATACAGGCAGACCTGTAGAAAACAATAGAATGCAATTTAACAAGGAGAAATGCAAAGTGCTGCACCTAGAAAGGAAAAATGTCTAGTACACCTACTGCCTAGGAAATGACCTGCTTGGTAGCACGGAAGCGGAAAGGGATCTCGGAGTCCTAGTGGACTCCAAGATGAACATGAGTCATCAGTGTGATGAAGTCATCAGCAAAGCTAACTGCACTTAGCTTTGATCCAGCTGTGATCCAGCATCCAATTTTGGGCACCACACTTCAAGAGGGATGTGAATAACCTGGAAAGGGTTGAGAGGAGGACTACTCATATGGTGGAGGGCCTGCAGGTAAGATCCTATGAAGACAGACTGCGGGACCTGAATCTCTTCAGCCTCCACGAGAGAAAGTTGAGAGGTGATCTTGTGGCTATCTACAAACTCAGGAGGGGGGTCAGCAGGGAATAGGGGATACTCCGTTTACCAGGGCACCCCTCAGTGTTACTAGAAACAATGGCCATAAACTGAAGGAGAGTAGATTTAGATCGAACATCAGGAAGAGGGAGTTTTGCCAAAATATGCAATGTATTTACAAGGAAGGTGGTGCTTTCCCCTACACTGGAGGTGTTCAAGAGGAGATTAGACCTAGGTGAGATCACTTAACCCCAGCTCTACTCTTTCCTGCCCAGGGAAAGGGGTCAGACTCAATGATCTAATAGGTTCTTCCGACCCTAGGAATCTATGAAATCTATGAAAACTTTGTGCTCACACTAAAGGAGCCACACAGAAACCTTTTGACTTACTTCACCCTTTTCCTGTTGCTCCCTGGTCCTGGTCCTCTATTTCACTAGACTTTACTGTAGAGATGCCCAAATCTAATGGGTATTCCATGATCCTGATGATCATGGATAAATTAACCAAAATGGCTTACTTTATCCAATGTGCAGGTCTGCTGTTGGCCAAAGCCACTGCCCAACTAGGACTAGATCATGTGGTTCACTTTCATTTTTTCTTGGACTTCATAAACTCCAACCACAGGTACTAGCTTCCTGATTTTTGATGTGAGGCCTTGCACCTGCTCAGCATCCATTCCCACCTCTCAAGTACGTATCACTTAGGCCTCTGCAAGTAGGCAGGTATTCAATCCAGCTTCAGATCCAGACACTTCATATGTCAGTGATCTGACCTCCAGATCAGTTTGCTGCTTTGGTCCGGCCAAAGAGGAACTGAAGCTTTGGAGCTGCCTTGGAGATCTGACCATAGGCTATAATGGGGGATCAATTAAATATCTATAACTTTGTTGT